CGGAGAAGACGGTGGCCGGCGATTGTGGAGCAACGGAGGAGAAGAAATTGTGAGAGTGGCTGGCGATTGAGGAGCGACGAAGGAAAAGAAATCGCTTGGCGCCATTGAAGAAGCAACTCAAAGCTTCAATAAGAAAAACTGAAATTTCTTCCCAGAAAATTGGATGAAAATGAAATGGGGATTTATAAAATAAGATGAAAATTAAATGGGGATTTTGAATAATTAATCTGGAGTAATTAATCAGAGTAAATTGGATTAAAGAGCACCCCAAACTCCTTTGCTCTGGATTGTAGGAAATTGCCATCTTCCTGTTCTTCTTACTGTGTTCAATACTTTCTTTTGGTTTGCTATTCCATTTACTGTCACTATTTTCATAGCCATGTGTATTAGCTTTTGTTGCTGCCATTCGAGGAAGAGAGGAGTGTAAAGGATGATGATGACTAAATCATCATTATCATTATTATTTGTTATAAACCAAACTGCTGTAAACAATAAAACAGAACAATGTTACCGGAAGAAGACTGAGTCGCGGACTATGTCGCTCTCTTTAGAACATTCACGGTACTGCCTTTAGTTTGTGCAAGCAGCTCTAATGTAACCAGATGTCCCCCATGATAAAACAGTCTCTCGGAAAGAAAATTATACCGATGGATTTGCACAGAACCACCGGACAAACTAAACACCGAAACAAATATAATAATGCTCGAATCTTTTGTGTAAGAAGTTTTCTGTTGAAAGTATTTCAGTAAATTGTTTTTTTTAAAAATAAGTTTCTGATTTTTTTGTGCGTTACAAACGGTGAGGGAGAGCACCCATTTTATAGTGGCTAAAAAACGAATCTGTACGGTTTAGCAGAATGTATTAGGACGGTTTTAGCAAGCAATTGACGGACGTAATTAAGGGCTTAATTCACGTTAATTAGCTGTTGCAAAACGGACAAAAAATCAATGCAATGACTGTTACAGAACAGACAAATAAAAACGGGCAAAAATGAAAACAGTAACAGTTAAGGATTGATTATGAAATCAGTTACAAAATCAAGGTATTAATCCTTGTTCAAAAATTTAAATCAGTTTAAGAAACCCAACCCGGCCCGGTTCGGTTCGGCGCGCGTGTGATAGGTTGGCTTTGTTGCTAAATCCTTCCTCTCCACAAAATGTGGGTAGCCCTTGGGCCACACCCAAGTACTCCACACTCTCTAATATAAGGAAGGGCAAACTACCATTTCTCACCAATGTGGGACTTTTTGTTTTTCACAAAATTCACACACTACACACTACTTGTTCCAACATTATTGTTTATAGTTTATTGTGTAATCCCTTGATTTATTCATTTAAGTTCATAGTCAAAGATATCCCTTATTTTTTAGCTAATGTACCTAGACAAAGAATCTAGTCAGTCTAATGCTTACTTATGTACTATAAATACTCTTGTATACTCTTTAATATAATTAAGCTTTTCAACATTTTTTTTTCATAACTCTATCAAGGAGGAGGTAGTGGTGGTTTGACATGGGTGGTTGAGGAGAGAGAAAATGAGAGGAGAGTGTGGAGAAGTGAAGAGTATTGGATTATAAATGAATAAGTCCCTAAAAATATTAATGTCAAATAATATAAAACTACTATCATATATTAGAATATTATTGTCATATATTAGAACATTAGATTATTAATGTCAGATATTAGATTATTATTGTCATATATTATAATACTATTGTCAGATATTAGAATATTAATTTGTTATATATTAGAATATTATTGTCAGATATTAGAATATTAAATTATTAGAACGTTAGATTATTATTGTCAAATATTAGAATATTAATGTCATATCATATCATATCACTAATAAATAAAGCTGGTCTCGCAGCCAAGCCACGAGACAGCGACACTTGACATTCCATTTTTTTGCTAAGTGTCGAGCCACGTAAGCGATAAATAGATATTAATGTGATTAGATTAGATGTCATGTTAGATTAGATTGGATAGATTTATTTAGGAAAAAAAGTATAAATAAAATAATTTATAATCCTTTTGGAAAAAAAGTTATCTTTTTATTGACAATAGAATTTTACTTATAGCAACTCACCACATATTTTTATAATTAATATGAATATACAATTAACAATAGAATTTAAATCCTATACGAATAACCACGTAATTATAATTATAAATATGACCATGTATCATTAATTTATTTTAGTCTACCATTGATTTACCATGAAAGGTTTTGAATAAGGTATTTTTCATATTCGCGTCGATTATAATATTTTTTGTGTATGTTTGTGATTTTGTTAATGAAATTAAAGAAATAAAAAAACTACTAAAATTAGGACATAATAGAAACTGTACAATACAAGGGAATTTTGAAGTGACTTCACATCAATGTTAGCAAGGTCTTAGAACTTTACGGGTTTTTCACTTAAAAAGCGTTTCAATAATTTTTTTTTATATGTTAATCATATTATTATTATTATTATTATTATTATTATTATTATTATTATTATTATTATTATTATTATTATTATTATTATTATTATTATTATTATTATCAAAAGGGTTTATTTGAAATATTTAACATTCAAACCCAAAAGTTTATCCTAAAATTTTATCAATAATTCGGGCATCACTCGGGCATAAAACTAGTAACTAATATATAAAGCTAAACTTTTAGTTAGGTCACGAGACATCGACACTTGACATTCCAATTTTCTGCCAAGTGTCACGCCACGTAGGTAATAATTAATTATCAATATGACACGTAGGATTTATTTGAATGTATTTTTTGTAGAATAGGATAAAAAAGGTTATTTTAGAGTTTTATTTTCAATAAAATTTGAATAGATTTAGTAGGATAAAAATTTATTTTAGAGTTTTATTTTCAATAAAATACCAATATATTTATACAAATGACGGATCCAACTCAGAGAGGTACAAAAGGAAAAAATGAAAAATCAAAGAAACCTATTATTATATATAACCGTTCTCTTAAATCTTAACATGCAACCAATCTTTCCCTAGATGTTTAAAGAAAATGAAAAGAGATCATAGTTTAAGACAACCGTTCTTTTTAGTTGTACGTTATTAATTCTATTTTTTTTTAGATTATCAAGTGATTATTAATCCATAAAATACCCATAAACGGACAAGTATGATTGTCAAGTGATTATTAATTCATGAGTAGAAAATTCAAATAACATATATATTTTAGATAAAAAGTTTTATTTTATAATTCAATAAGTAATTCGGGCATCGCACGAGGCACAAAACTAGTAATAGAATATTATTGTTAGATATTAAAATATTATTGTCAGACACATTGGACTCACGGTCAGTCCGATCTTACGCAAATTACTTCCAAGTATATATAGTGTAATGTACTACTCCTTTCGTGTTTTAATAAGTGTTACACTTTGACTTTTATAACTATCCACATAATGGTTTTTGACTTGATTAATTTACTAATGTATAAAAAACAAATGTTATTGTATAATACATTGTTTAATTTGTTAAAATGTATACTTTTATAATACCAATTTTTTTCCTATAATTTTACTGACATATAATTTGATAAATTAATTGTCAAAAACATATCTCGACATACGTATTTGATCAAAGTGTAACACTTATTTAAACCTGAAAGGAGTACCAACAAATATAATAAAAACGCATTTGTCTTCAAATGTTATCAAATGTTAATAACTTTTTTTTTTTTTTTTTGAAACAATTCATAACTTAATATAAGAAGTGCTTGTACTTTGTTCACTAAAATAAAACATTAGAGAAATTGTCTGTCAAATTTGGTGTTAGTGGAAAGTAAGTTGTTGATTTACATGATGTGATTTGCATAAGATCGGAGAAGAATAATACGGATTACTAAAGAATAATTGATTGGACAATTACCACGAGAATCATCTAATTGATGACTATAGTTTATAGTCCTTATTTTGAACTTGTGACCTTATAGTCACAACTCACAAGGAGAGTCCCCATCAACTTCACCATACTTATCTGGTTAATGGACAATTAATTCTTGGCTGATTTTTGCTACTGTAGATAATTAAGTAGAAAACAAATATTAAGAGCATATAGGCAAAATTTAATTTGAACACTAAACCCCTCAAGAATTAAGAAATATTAGCTTATCAAACTGGATACTTGTATAAAATAATTATAAAAAAATTAAAAAAATAAGGGGTGAATGAATGTGAGACTTTTTTTATTTTTTTATTTTTAGGAAATGAATGTGAGACTTAATTTAAGAGTAAATAATTTTTTTTTTCCTGTGAAGAAATTAAGGCAAGTAGATTGAAACACCGGACATCCGATAAGATAGTCAGAGCATGTAAAATAAGATAAATGTAGTACTTCCTCCGTTTTTTTTACATGACCCGTTTCTTATATCATGCTTACCAATGCAAAATTTTAACGATCAATAACTTTGATTCTCCATAAGTAAAAATTATAAAGTTGTATATTATGATATTATTTATTGAGACGAATTTAAAAACATCTCACATGAGTATGTTTTTCCTTACCTATTATTCACAAAAAACGGTTGAAAAGAGTGGTAATGAATAGTGATTAAGTCAAAACGGGTCAAATAAAAAAGAATAGAAAAAGTATTATTTTAAATCGTGAGAAATAATATATAAAAAAAAATAATAATAATTAAAATACAGTAAGGAATTCTAGGGAGTTATTTATTGACATGATGAAATCCACATAAATTGGCAAGAAATAAAAGTAGTCAAACATGAAACGCATAAAAAAGTGTGAAGTCCACTAATACATGCATAATTGCCTTTTACAAGACGCGGAACTTTAACCTAGATCCACTCATCCACACAAGTGTTCTATGACGTTGACGACTTATGCACATTCTTCATGTGATTATTGTTGGTAGGCTACACCATTTTTGTTCACACCATCAAATAAATGTGTTCACATCACCTAATTTCTATTTATAAATATTATATAACGAACCTTGATTGTGAGAAAATATTAACAATATTTGTTCGAGAACATAAAGTTAGAAGAAAGAGAGAAAAAAAAAGATGGTTGTGACAAATAGCATGGGTATGAATATGGGCATCAAATGTTGCGTGAAGAAGGATGATCTTTTTACTCCTTATCAATTGGGAAAATTCAATCTATCTCACAGGTTCGTTTGTCTTTTATTTCATTCATTGTCTTCTATTTAGATTTACGGTCAAATGATCATAAATGGTGGTGATGACCGCTTTGATTTCGTTTATGATCGACCATGATAAAATGGAAGTGACATTTACTCGTGGTAAAATGTATAATATACAAGTGATTCACGCACGACTTTTCTACAACTCCATCAATATATATGAAAGTATTCCCAACATGGGCAAAGACTTAAGTGGTCACTTTGATGGCGTAACTAACAAGATTTATTTTCCAATTCGTTAGGGAAATTTATAATATGAGTTAGTAGGCGCTCAAGGCGTATGCTAGAGACGACGTCCTGTCTGTGAACTTTCGGGAGCACGTCTACACCGACTGATTTTTTGAGGAGGCGGTGCTCCCTAGATTGGCTCGTCCGAGGTTTGTAGATCGCTATCATTCATTTGTCTTTTCTATAGCCCCAACAGTGTTAATTATTGGATCATCTTGCAGGAGGAGAGTCTGAGGTGTTTGAGCCCCCACGCATGTCCATTTGCTACCAAGGGTTTCATGGCCCCATTGAGGAGGCGATCCCTCCGGCTCCCGCAGAGTGGTAGTTGGTGGAGCGATCCATCCCTCGTTCTACGAAACTAACCATTCACTATGATGTTTGAGATTACTGGAACACTTTTTTGTTTGTTTTTTTGATTTAATTCAGGTTAAAATTATTATTCCATGTCTATTTAATTGATGTGACCAAAAACACATCAAATGAAAGTATATTGGCCTTAGTCTAGATGACCAAATTATTATCCTTAACTTAAATGTTTTATCATTTCATTTATGTACTCTACTATTAGTTACTCGATTCAATTCGTGGCCGCGGAGTAGTATACTTAGATCCACATATGGATTTTCAAATGTGTCATTCACTGATTGCTGAGCGCGAGATCTTTTCAGGTATACAATGCCCTTAAGAATAGAAGAGCCGTAAGATAGGATTTATTGCTTTTGAAAACATTTTTATTATTTTGTGCATATGCTTCTATTTGATTCAATGTCTATCAAAGGTTGTAAGATGTCTTGATTCAGAATTCCAACATTGTCCAATATCAGCTTGGACACATTCAAAACAGTGTGTATAAAGTTCAAAAACATAAATTCTCATATTGCTTTGATCTCTACTCAAATAATACTGACTGAGTATCCCCAATAAGTGACCCCAACCACACATAAAAAATATCGTTAATATTGTAAGCGAATTAGATTCCTTTTGTAACTGATTTTCTATAGTTTGTTAAAGGCTTGTAGTTTCTATAATATAAATATGAGATCTATTAATGAAATAAACTTCTTCTATTTTCTCAATCTTTCTCTATTTCTCTTTATGTTTAGCCGTTTACTTGACTACATTAATTAATCAGATCATAAATAAGGGTTTGAAATTAGGCCTTGTTTATTTCACCTTATTTTTGCTCATCTGAGCATTTTTGAGCTCAAGCTCCAGATCAGACTCCCGTCTCCAGAGAAAAAATCTACATTGCAAGTAAGATCCGTGAGTCTATATAGAGCTTGATGCACAAGATATGGAGCGAACAAGAGGAGTATACAGGTAATATTTTAGATTACTACATTGACACTTATGTATTAATTTTTGATTTGGATTTTTTAGGATGTGCAACAACCTTTCGAGAGTTAGGTAAGAATGATTCAGAACGTTTGCTCCATATCTCGTGCATCAAGTTCTTCATATATCCAATAATAGTATTACTTATATACTTCTCTTGTTCGCTCCATATAACTTAGAAACCAGTCTATTGATGCAAAAGCTTGTTAAATGCATTTGACCTTGTATCGGAATAATACACTTGTTCGAAGGACACCATTCCTTTCATTGAGAATTAATATCCTTAGCCTTAGCCTATACACATCTTTGATTCTTAACAATCTCATAACCTACTTATTATATGAGTCCAAATGCCTTGCTAATCATTTGGTTCTAATTTGATTAGGGGTTACTAATTAGGCTTGTTTAGGAGTATATGTAAAGTCAAATAACATAAGTAGATTTGTTTGAGTGAGTAATTTAATTACACATGAGCTCAAAGGGTAACTCCCATCTTGGTGCTTGGATAATGGAGGTAGAGATAAATTATTGGCGTCTCTCATCATTAGATTTAAAAAGCTTTGTTTGACTGTGTTTGACTTTGATTTGATTCATTCAGCTTTGTTGAATGCATTTGACTTTCATTTGATTCAATTAGCTTTGTTTTAATATGTTAGATTTTCATTTGATCCGAATTATATTCCTCTAAAGGAATCGATAATTCAAACGCGGTCAAATGCTTTGTTTGAATGTGTTTGACTAGATTTTTGATACGCTTTAAAAATAAAAGAAGAAACACAAAAACAATTGGACGTAGATTTCATTCGTGTATGTAATTACCAAGATTGGGTAGCAAACATCGTCAATTAAATCAATTGAAAATCAAACACATTCAAACAAATATTTTTGAATCAAATGAAAGTCAAAAGCATTCAACAAAGCTAATGGAATCAAATAAAAGTCAAACACATTCAAATAAAGCTTTTTGAATTAAATGAAAGTCAAAAGCATTCAATAAAGCTAATTGAATAGACTGAAAGTCAACTGAATTCAAACAAAGCTAATTGAATCACATGAAAGTCAAACCCATTCAAACAAAACTTTTTGAATCAAATGAAAGTCAAAAGCATTCAATTAGCCTCGTTGACCTTTTAATGAAATATGGCTGGTATTTCGTCTTCTCTTAAAATTCTAATTGTTATATCTATATTCATATTCATTGTCATACACTACGATAAAATACATATTCTAATTTTCATTGGGCATGTCACGCTATAGTGAATCGTGTTATATATGCTGCCCTTATGGTGGATGCTTTTGTGCCAAGTTGCACAGGAAGCAGCTTAGAAAGGTGAGGTAATTTATCCCAGTCACCCAAAAAAAACAAATATTTAAGTTATTGAATGTAGTTTTGACCCTGCTTAGACTTGTTTCCAGACGTCAAAAGCAATCATTAGTGATGTTTGTCATTTTTATAAATACTTTATCTTAATGTAAGATAGAGTATTTACAAAAATGACAGTCATCACTAATGATTGCTTTTGACGCTAGAAACAAGTATAATAGTCCTTATATACAACTCATTCAAACAATGATTTTGACTGTGTTAGCTTAAATCATAGCATGTGATGCGTTACTTATCTAAGTGCAATTTTTAGATATTATCTATTGATATTAAAAGTAAGTGAAGGATATTATCCTTCTACATATGACCATGGATAAATAATCAAATGAAAGCTAATTAAATAAAATGAAAGTCAAACACAACTGCTAAAATTTGTGAGCTTTTGTTTTACAGGTTTGTAAAATTATTGATCAAATTGGCATTAGCTTATCATTCAGACATAATGAAAGTCAAATGCACTAGTAGTCTGATTTTATCAAACAAAGGGTATGAAAACGATATTAACAGTTCGGATTTGAACAAAGCTTTTTGAATCAAATGAAAATCAAACACATTCAACAAAGCTAATTGAATCAAATGAAAGTCAAACACATTTAAACAAAGCTAATTGAATAAATGAAACTCAAACGTATTCAACAAAGCTAATTAAATCAAATCAAAGTCAAACACATTCAAATAAAGTTTTTTTATTCAAATGAAAGTCAAATGCATTCAACAAAGCTTATTGAATCAAATGAAAGTCAAACACATTGAACTAAAGCTTTTTGAATCAAATGAAAGTCTAATGCATTCAACAAAGCCAATTGAATAAAATAAAAGTCAAACAAATTCAAACAAAGCTTTTGAATAAAATAAAAGTCAAATGCATTCAACAAAGCTAATTGAATAAAATGAAAGTCAAATGCATTCAACAAAGCTAATGGAATCAAATGAAAGTCAAACACATTCAAACAAAGCTTTTTGAATCAAATGAAAGTCAAATGCATTCAACAAAGCTAATGGAATCAAATGAAAGTCAAACATATTCAAACAAAGCTTTTTGAATTTAATAAAAGTCAAATGCATTTAACAAAGCTAATTGAATCAATAGAATGTCAAATGCATTCAAAAAATCTTTTTGAATCAAATGAAAGTCAAATGCATTCTACAAAGCTAATTGAATCAAATGAAAATTAAACACAGCAGATTAAAATTTCATAAGTTACACAACTGCTAGCTAACAAAATGTTGTAAACCTTATGCAATTGCCATGGGGCAACACAGACGGTTCCAAAAGTTGGTTAAGCAAGCTGATAACCTCAGGCGGCCCTAGGACTGTCTGACCTTCCCGATGAGAAGTTGACTCATTTAAAGTAAGGCCAGTAGCACAGACGTCTAATAGTCGTCTGTCCTTACTTAAAGTACTTAACTGTGTTTGGATAGATAATCCAGACGGCAAAAAATGATGTCCTATACGATTGACTAGGAAATGCCATCAGCTGCCTAGATATTCCAGCACATACCGTTTGCTCAATGGACGATTGTCCACTTGGTTTAGGGCAATCACGGAGTGATTAATTGACTTGGGAATTCGTCATATGCCTTAAAGTATAAAAAATTCTTAAGTCAATCAATCTCACTTTGAACCAACCAGACAGCTGTCCAGGGGCAAGAAGACCAGTTGGTTCATAAGTTACCGTATGCAATTAAGGACTTGATAAAAATTTAGGACTTGGTAAAAATTCAGGCATATATAGAAAATGCAAGAAATTGAAAAATTGAAGCAATTCGACAAAGTCGGCAATTTCATAAATTATAAACCGACCCCATGGTCGGCAAATCAAATAAAATTGTTAAACCGGTTACACAACCGGTGAAAAGTGAAGATCTTTTTACAAAGATACTCGGCACGTAAGCCGGAAATTCAAACTCAAACGACACAAGGCCGGTTACATGAATGGCAGCTTCAATTTGCTAAGGTGGAGGCACAGTTGTGATAATTAAAGTCAAATGAGTCACACTTAAAAAATACAATGATACAGTTTTCTCCACATGATGACGACTCCAGTAGCCACGCGCCATTCCTACCTTCTTACATTGAACAATCAAAGTTTTGATAAATTAAATGTCAATTTGTAGGAAAATTACGCATTATAGTATTATACCCTCATTTGATCCAAGGAATTCCATTCATCTTCTCAATCTTTCGCCATGGAACGACCCACTAATCACATAAGATTAAAATACAGCACTGGCTATATTCAAATATCAGGTTCAGGCCGCTAATTGAACCGAAAATATTTAATATCACTCTTTAACATTTTACATTGTGGGTACTCAAACAAGATTAAATTAAATTAAATGAAAGTTTAACACATTAAAACAAAACTTTTTGAATCAAATAAAAGTCAAAAGCTTTCAACAAAGCTAATTGAATTGAATGAAAGTCAAATGCATTCAACAAAACTAATTGAATCAAAAGAAAGTCAAACTCATTCAAACAAAGCTTTTTGAATTGAATAAAAGTCAAAAGCATTCAACAAAACTAATTAAATTAAATGAAAATCAAACACATTTTTATTACATAGTCCTTCTTATATTTGATTGTTCAATGCATTTGATCCAAATTATATTATCTCTTTTCTTTCTCATCGTTTTGAATGTATTTGTCTTTTTTTTTTTTTTTTTTTTTTTTGTTTTTTTTTTTTTTTTTTAACATAATAGTCGGAATCTGGGTTCGTAGTCATAAAATAGCAATAAAACGATTTTATCGAATAAAACCGAGATCCTATCTAATTAGGTTGCTAATCCTAAAT